TAACTTAGTTTTATTACCACAGATGGTAAAGCAGTTTCTGCATTGATATCAATAAAATCTAAACTACGATTATGATGAGATGTTGATGATAATGAATTATTATTATTGTTATTGATTTCTGATTCGGATGAACTACTTTCTCCACTTGAACCTCCATGACTTTGATGTTGAACCCATCGTGCTGTGACCGTCTAAATAATAATATTATATTTTATTTCAATTAATATATTCATCTACATACGATTCTATCGCGATCATCTGTTTGTCCTAATGTTTTATTATCATCAGTTGAATAAATAATTTCATTATTACGATACAATTCAATAATACCATAAGCAGATTTATATCTAAAATACAAATTTCTTTAAAAAATAGTTTAATAGGAAAAAATACCGATTATGAATAAATCTTCGAATATGTCCCCATGTATCATTTGAATGAAAACCATGTTCGAAATCATCAGTTCGATTTTGACCAGTATTTACACGAATAATTAATGTCATTGGACGACCACGAAATGCTCTTGACATGGGTAAAATTGATCGTTCTTTATGATATGAATTATCACATTCAGCTAAATATTCTCTTAGAACAATTAATATTCGTATTAATGAATTAAGTTTATGTTGATATTCTTGTTTTGAATCTTGTTGTGTTTGCATTAATTTAACACTATCATAAACTGGTCGTAAACGTTCAAAACAATCACTTATAAATGATTCATGTATACGTTTAACATCCGTTTTTAATTGTGGACTTATATTTGTATAAATTTCTCTCATTAATTGTATACCACGATCAGCTACTTCATCTGAACCATTTAATATTAATTTCCATAAATATTCAATTCCAACAAGATCCTCATCATTCATTAAACGAATAGAACGACGTTTTTGTTGTAATTTATTTAATTGGGCATTGACAGATTTAAAAAAACGATCGAAACAACTAAAAAATAACAAAAAGAAAAATTAGATTTCACTCTTGTAAAACTCTATCAAACGCTTTTTCATAGAGAAGAGTCCAGTAAGAATAAACTGTTTGTTTGCTTGTATGGTCCGCAATTCACTGATGGGTCCAGAAATGATCTCAATGGAGGCGTACGAAAAACTTGATCAAAGATTAATCGAGGCCGAGAAAATTAAATCTGAAGCACCATTTCTACGAGTCTCCGGCTGAGTGTTACTTGTTTAATTCCGTGCAAATAATTTCTCCTTATAATAAATCGAAGTATCTTTCTTGTTCGATATGACTTACTTCATGCCTAGATCAGTTAATAAATGAGGTTCAAGTTTCATCAAATGATTTTGAAAAAAATCTTTTGCTGCTTTAGGTTCAAAATCATCTTCATCAATAATCTAAATATATGAATTATTCTATATGATATAACTTTGTTTTTTTTTCTTACTTCAGCAAACCAACGAAAACATTGTTCACGATCATTCGGGTAAACTGCTTGTTCAGCTAAACATGTCCAAATCATTTTTGAATGTTCAGCTGATAAATACAAACGTCCTTCTTTCAATGTAAATCTTTAGAAATCAAAATAAATAATTAGAAAATTTTCTATAAAGAAAAATGCTTTACTTAAGAAAATTTAATCGTTCATGAATTTGTTGATTATGATTAAATCGACCATCTGAATAATATTCTTCTGGTGTTAAACTTGCTTTTAATTCATTTTCTTTATATTTTCTTGCATTTTCCATATATTGACAAAGATTTTCCGTGACAATTCGAGTTAATTCATATTTTTTCTCTAAAATATCAATAACACCTGTTCGATTTTGTGGTCCAGGCATACGTGGAATGTTTTGTGCAAAAACACCTTCATGAAATTGCATACATATTTCTCTTAATTGTTTTAATGAAATAATGACATGACCACGATCATGTTTAACTTCATCCATAAATTTATCAAGCCATAGTAATTTACTTTTTTCTTTTTCTTGTAAACAACTATAATCAAGAATTTTTAAATGTGCGGTTAATGCTTGATCAATAATTTCATTTGGTAAATGTTGATCATGTGCGATATTCCATAATAATTCAAGAACTTTATTTGCCATTAAACCTTCTTTATCATCTTCAGCTAATCGACGAATTAATTCAAGAAGTTTTTCTCGTTGTTTTTTACTTGCTTTTGTCCAACTTTCCTAGAAAAACAATGAAATTTTTCGCTAGATAGATTTTCTCAAAAAATCAAAATAAAATACTCGAAAACAATCAAATAAATGTTCAAGTTGTTCAGGTGAAAAATCCCATGCTAATTTAGCGAGTAAATCATGAACATTCTTTTCAATAGCTTCATGTTTTCCACATGATGAATTCCATATTTTATCTAAATCTATTCGACTTAATGCTTGTTCTTTAATAATAAACCGAAGAATTTTTTCTAGTTTTTCAACATATTGTGGTTGATGTAAACAATCACGTAATACAATATCAAGAACTTGATTCTCTTGTATCCATTGCTAAAAAATAAAACATAAACGAATGAATAAAATCAATTGTCTTAATTAATTTTCTTACAATTAATTTTTCAGCTGTTAAACTTTCGGGTTCTTCAGATCGATTTAATGTTGAACGTTGAATTGTATTAAGACTCATAATTAATTTATTGACTTCATTGAGAGCATTCATTTTACCGCTGAAGGAATTAGTTTGGAGAATTCTACAAAAAAAACAAAAATTGAAATATTTTCATTTTCCGAACACTTGTTGTTTACCTTAAAATCATTTTAAGTCTAAGTGCATCTAAATTTCGACATTCTTTTTCATTATCTGGTATACGCGAAGCTAAATAACGTAACCATCTAATAACTGTTGATAAAGTATCACTTTTTGGTTCAGTTTTTGTTTCAACTTTTAAATCAGTTTCTGTTAATTGATCAAGAAATTGCGGAACAAAATCCTAAAAAATAATATATATATTTTTTCTTCGTCTATTAAGATAAGACAATACTAACAATAATTGGTGCAAAATATTTTTTTACAGTTGTAGGTGTGAGATATTCATAACAAAGACCCCAAGGTTTAAGTAATGCAACAACAACAGATATTGTTAATTTTGTTTCGGATGATAAAAATCGAGTTAAAATTTTATTAAATCCACCTAAATCTCCAAATCGATTTATAAAATCAATTAACCAACCCTTTATAATAAATAAAAATATAGCATCGTTGATTTAAATTATATTTAATCCTTACTCGTTGTTGAAGACGATATTCATTTGATAAAGCAAATATTTCCTTTTCAGGCGCTAATTGTAAATCACTTACACGGCTATGATTTGACTGATGGAATCTATACAAATAGAAAAAAAAAAAATAAAATTTCGATTCTTTTTATTAAACCCTACCGGCAAGAAGGATTCATAAGTAAACCAAGAATTTCAAGTAATGGTAAACAATCATCTTCTATTTTTAATACACATAATTCAATAAAAACCATACAATTTTGATAAATATATTTCTAAATAGAAATTATTAAATTCCTTTATAATGATTTCTTCTACATACAAATATTTCATGTTTCCATGTTTGTACAGCTTCATCACAAAGAACTTTAGTAAAAGAATTTACAAGACTATCTCGAATAAATCGTTGGCAGGGATCACTTTTAGTATCTAATTCTAAAGACAAAGAAATTATTTTTCTATTTGTTAAAAATTTTTGTTTTTTACTTTGTGTAGCAAGACGAACAGCAGCTCGTAAACATTTTATTAATTCTCCATCAGGTAAAACAGGTACAACCCATCGTGTTTGATTTAATTGCTCTTCGAGTTTAATTAAATCATTTAATGGAAATTTAATTTGACCATTTTCATCATAAATATCATTATCTTCTATTTGTGCTGATGATTCATCATCATCTTCATCATCATCTGATGGTTCATTCTCTTGTATTGTTGAAGTAATATAATCCGGTGGTAATTGTTGTTGTTGTTGTTCAGTTGTATCAGATGATTCTGCTGGTTGTTGACCATTACCATCAAGCAAAGGTGAATGAGTCGAATGATTTTTTGCGGTCATTGAATATTTTCAAAAAAAAATTGAATTTTAATTAAAAAAAACGGGACAATAGATAATGCGCCCGAAAGGGAAAATCTAGAAAGAAAAAATTAAATGACATGTGCAATCAAACAAAACATCATGACTCATTTATTAAAGAGAACATAAGAAAAGAAAACAACAACAACAAAAAAAATCTTTTTAATCGTATTAAAATATCTCGACAAAGAAAAATAAACATATGATTA